GGATATGGTTAGAAAAAAAAAAGGAATTGAAGAAAAAAATAAGCAGAAAAAGCCAAACTGAGGAAAGCAAATATGAAAAAAGGAAGAATTTCTTAAAAGAAAAATTTAATAACTCATAGGGCTATACTTAAATCATCTTAAATGTTCCTTTTGAGTCACACAACGTGTAACATATGAAGCTTGTCTTATCTTATCAGCCATCTTTTGTCAACCAGCCGTGACATCCTTATCTTGGACACAACTGCTGTATAGTCAACAGAAAAATACTGTTTAAGAATAGCTCCCCAAAAGACTTTCACACATTTTGAAACCACTAGAAAATCTCTTTGTGAAACAGGAGGATTTTATGACAGATTTGTTATAGAAATTGTACGAATAATGCTCATAGATTGATAGCAGGTAAGAAAATTAAAGTGAATTTCTTATACTGGGTTTAGACTAGAAGGATAATCTTTGAGAAAACCAGGGGAAATGCCATATAGTGACATGATCCATACGCTGTAAAGGTTATGCCTGCTGTTGTAAGTTACATGATGAGAAGTAGACAATAAACTATTGCCACCATGCAATGTTGTTTTTATCCTTTTTTTATATTTTCTCCTGCTGCTGTCTGACTTGGTCATGCATCATTAAACAGCAACCGGTTAGTTTTTACAGGGATGTGAAAAATTCAACAAAAATAATGCAAATGTTGCACAACACTCCCATTCAATGAATGCACTGCAGACTTCTGCCAACAGCCACAACTATAAGACATATGATCCCCCCATTCTCTTTAGATACTTTTTATTTTAAGTGTCATCCATTTTAAAGGTCTAAAAATCGATGCTAAAATCTAGCAGACATCTGACCGAATTGATGCATCTGGAAATTGATGTGTGACAAATGGTTTTCTCAGCTGCATTGCTTCCTATGCAGAGGTGGGTAGTAGCTTTTCAAATAATTAACCACCATAACTTAAATTATTTGGAGATCAGGTGAAAATTGTGCAAACAGTAGAAATGGTCTCTTGGAGTTTCTAGGAATCTACATTAAAGATCAGGTTTATAAGTTTATTTAAAAAAAAAAAAGGATTTGGAAAGTGTTTTTTTCTGCCCCATTGTTATTATTCTTAAATTATTATTTTGTAATCATGTTATTTGTATTTTAAAATTACATTTATACTTAAAAAATTTAAATTTGTACATAACTCGATGTCTAATTGCATCATTTTAAATATCAGATCAGGAGTTACAATTCACCAGTTTCTCAGTACTTGAGTAGTCATTCACTAAGTAGTTTTTTTTATTTTACTTAAAGGAGAAGTCCGTTCACAATCAGAATAAAAACTTCTGAAAGGACTTTAAATGTGACAATGATTCCATCCTGTTCAATAAATGATCAGTGTTTTTAATTCAGAGTAATTTTCATTTGAATGTGCTTTACTGGAGGCATCCATGTTTGTCAAAGAACACTACTGCCACCTACACCTACCGGA